CAGCGAGGAGAAGGAGGAGGAGGAGGAGGAGGAGGAGGAGACAAGGAGGATAATGCCTCTCAGGGGCTATCTTTGGGACTTCTGGGAGCCTCCTGGGGGCCTCTTGGGGGCCTCTTGTGGCCTCACGGGGCTTCTTGACAGAACATGAATGTGTGTTCGCATCCTAGCCTCGTGGGGCCCTCTTAGGCTGTCTCGAGCCATCTTGAGGCCGTTTGGGATCCCCTTGTGCAATATTGGGCCATCCTGGGCCGTCATGGTGTCATCTTGGCTGTCTCGGAAGCCGTCTTCGGAGCCTCTTGGGCCGTCTGGAGGCCGAAACGCGTAGAGAAGAATCAGGTGTGTGGTTTTTGAAGGACGCTTGCGGCCTGGGGGTGGGGGGGAGGGGGGGCGGCGCTAGAAAGCAGTAGAAATCTGCTAGGCAACAGGCGAGCATTCGAAAACATGCCGACTCTGTGCAGGCACGGTAGCGGATTGTTGTCCTGTTTGGTGTTCGAGTTCGCATTATCATTGCCACTATCATTTGTGTCATTCCTTCAAGACGTTCCCTGGGTTCCCCCCCGTCCGCGCACGCTCCTCAGACCAGGACACGCGAGTTTCCCTCTTCCCAGCCCTCGTGTGGTCATCCCTTTCCCTCCTCTCCTCCTCCTCGTCCTCGTCCTCCTTGTTTCAGAGGGTCTCCCCCCTGTGGTGGCTGTTTCGAGAGAACCCCTGCAGTCGAGGGTCTCCCCTTGGCCGGTCTCTAAATTTTTGGCGGGCCCCTGGTGGCAGAAGAGGCATCGTGTTGCGCCACCCACGCGTGTGTCTTTGGTTGGCGTGGAAAAAACTCTCGTCCCTGAGATCCGACCTTGCGAGCAAAAGAGCAACCTCGCGAAAAAAATGACGGCCCGAACACTAGACCCCATCTTCATGCGGCATTTCGCGAGCCGAGCCGATCTGTGATGACCCCGGGGTCTGCAACCGAGCGAAAACGTTTCTGGCGTGAGAACATGGCAGGGCGCTTTCCGACTCCTCCGGGCCGATTCGAAACGATTTCCCAGGGTTCCGACTCGATCCGACTCGATGCGAACATTCCGATTCGCGATTCCGATTTCGAGTTCGCCCGATCCGACTCCTGCCGATTCGATGCGTCTGCCGACTTCTGCCGATTTCCTGCCGATCCGGCTTCGCTCCAGCTCTTGGATGGTTTAGAAAAGGCGGAGGAGGAGGAGGGGGAGGAGGGGGAGGAGGAGGAGGAGGAGGAGGGGCAGCCAGGTGCTCACGTGCGTCCTGGAGCGCCCTGGGGCCACGGACGGGCGCTTTCCTCGTGGCCACGGCTGCGTCCTCCTCGAAATGTTTGCCCGAACGGTCCGTCCCGCGGTCCAGGGGGTCCGTCCCACGGTCCGGGGGGTCCGTCCCACAGACCGGGGGGGGGGGGAGTCCTGGGTCCTCGGGGGGTCTGTCCCACAGACGAGGGGGGGGGTCTGCGCCCCACAGACGGGGGGGGGTCTGCCCCACGTCCCACAGACGGGGGGGGTCTGCCCCACAGAGGGGGGGGGTCTGTCACAGACGTAGGGGTCTGTCACAGACGGGGGGGGGTCTGTCCCACAGACGGGGGGGGGCGGTCTGTCACAGACGTAGGGGTCTGTCACAGACGTAGGGGTCTGTCACAGACGGGGGGGGGGTCTGCCCCACAGACGGGGGGGGGGTCTGTCCCACAGACGTAGGGGTCTGTCACAGACGGGGGGGTCTGTCCACAGACGTAGGGGTCTGTCCACAGACGTAGGGTGGTCTGTCCACAGACGGGGGGGGTCTGTCCACAGACGGGGGGGTCTGTCCACAGACGTGGGGGTCGGTCCACAGACGGGGGGGTCTGCCCCACAGACGGGGGCGTCTGTCCCACAGACGGGGGGCGGTCTGTCCCACAGACGTGGGGGTCTGTCCCACAGACGGGGGGGTCCATGCCACGGTCCGCTGGGGGTCCCTTGGGGCCCTTTGCAACGACGCGCGTGCGACGTTTACGATGACGTGCGACGGAGAGCGACGAAAATGCATGCGACGACGTTCGCGACGACGTGCGATAACGTGCGACGACGTCTTCCATCCCAGCCTTCCGATTTCGATTTCGATCCGGCTTGACGGGATCCGGTTTCCGACTCGATCCGACTCGGCCCTGCCGACTCCTGCCGATTTCGACTTGGCAGCCGATTTCTGCCGATTCTTGCCGATTCGATGCCTCGGTCGACCCGATCCGGCTTATCGATTCGATGCTGGGGCCGCCTGCATGGCAGTCCAGAGGTCCGATGTTTTGTTGTCTTCCATACGAGCTCCCCAGAAGTCTCGACCCCGGCGATTGGCTGTTCATTCCGAGTCTTTCTGCTACGGTTGGTGGTCTCCAAACCAGGTGGTGAGACACCCGGTGGTGACCCCGATTCACCCAAGAAATAATTCTGGGTCGCCACCAGGTTTGGGGACACGCGGCCGCCACGAGGTTTTGCGTTTCCTGGGCCGGCCAGCGCTCGAA